ACACTTTTTCATCTTTATATATAATCTTGCAATCTCTTAGTTTTTGTAACACACAACAAACATGAACTTCATACTCTTTTTTGTTCTTAGAATAGATTAAAATGTCATACAAATAATAAACAACAAAATCATTAAGAAATTCACAAAAAAAATCATTTATTAGATATTGAAAAGTAGCTGATACATTCATGAGTCCAGAAAGCATCACATTATATTCAAAATGTCCATACCTAGTTCAAAAGCATTCTTCTATTCATCTCCTTTGATATGGATCAGGTTATATATTCCTCATAGATCTATTTTTGTATAGATCTTTTTTTGATTTATTTGATCAAGAAGTCCTAAAATCAAAGGTATAGGATACCTATTCTTAATGGTGATCTTGTTAAGTCCTTGATAATTTTTATATATCTGCAAAGATTTGTCTTTTTTCTTAATAAATAAGATAGAAGCATCTACTGAAGATTTAAAATATCATTTAAAGTTCTTAGCTAAGTTTTCATCAATGTATTTTTTGAGAGCAGCCAACTCATTTTGTAATAGACTATAGATTAGTCCAAATGGTGGTTGAGTTCTATATTGAAGATCACTAGTACAATCATAAGGACGATGCTCCAAAAAGATATTTGCATTCTTCTTTTAAAAAACATCCTAGAAATCTTGATACTAGCTAAGAATACCACTTGATATCTTTTCACTATTAAGAATGGATGTAGCATATATAGCAAAAGATGCCCCTTTATTTGCGGCATGCATGAAAGCTTTTGTATCTATCAATAAGAGTTTGGATATACTAGATTTATGGATTTTTACTTGCCTAATAAGATCTTGGGCTAAACTATGGAAAAAATTGAGATTGCAAGAAATCCAATCTTTTTAAGAATTATATCTTTTTAATTGTGATAATCCTAAAATAATTGAATTAGAATGAAATTTAATCACATTAAATATTACTAAACTATTGTGATCGCTAATTGCTACTTCTACAGGAATAGTTTTATGTATAACATCTCTAGAAGATAATGAATGCTCATCTATTACTTCTACATGCATAGATTTGGTTTTTTAATTAAGAATATATCTTGCTTTATGACAAAGTCTTCATCTATAAAATAAGTTGACATTCTTGAATCCAACAAGGCTAAGACTTTGTGATTTTCTAGTCCTAAAAAGATTCTATTATAAAATAAGGTGAAGGATCAAAAGAGTGAATAAAACCGTTGTTAGATGTTTCACATGATTTTAGCCACATAATTCCTATTGTAATTGGAATAATTCATTTTTTGACACATTGTCTTCTTTGGTAATTGTACTTTTTATTTTGTAATTGTATTATTTCTTTGATCAATGTTGAGCAGTATGCTTAGCTTCTATACAATATAAGCATAAGTCCTTTTGATATCGTTGACTCTTATTCTGCTTTATAACAAATTTAAAAAGTACCACATCAATTTGCATTGGTTCTTACTTTGATAAATAATTTTCTAAAAACTTAGGAACTGCCATCATTATTTGATTTATTCTTCTCTAACCATATTTTTATTCTTCATGTCTTTTAGATAATTAATTGTCACATGTAATGGCTTGAGCAATAAATTATTCCAAAGATTCTATCTTGACATTGTCAATAATAAGTCTTTGACATTATCTTTCAACTCATATTAGAATTGATTGATAAGGACTTTGTCATTCCAATCTACATCACAAACAAGGTTTTGGAATTGAACAGCATATATGGTAGCTAACCATGATCTTTGCCATAAAGATAAGAGCTTAGTCTTTACTACTCATTTTTTATCACTTTTTCCAAATGTGGCTGTAAATATTTCTAGGAATGAATTCAAATCATAAAGGAGTCACAAATCTTTTTCTATTAAAGATACAAATCAACAGAGAGGACTTCTTGATAGAAGTGTGCCTATGAATTCTACTTGAATAAATCCATCGGGATATTGGAAACGGTGCAATCTTAGGTAGAACTTGACTTGTTGCAAAAATCTTTAAAATTTTGATCTTGTTCCATCAAACTTCTCAAGCATACTAATCCTTATTTCTATCATACTTGTAGAAGCAAAACTCTGTGGATTTAGTTGTGAGGTTGATCTACTTGCTTCGTTTAACTGAAAAACTTCTTGTTGTGTCCTTTAAATTTCTTTCAAAAGCATAGGCATAGATTATCCATGATTCATATTAGAAATACGTGAGATTTTTACTTTTAGAGTATTGATAAGCTCATGAAGATATGCAATAGTTGTAAATCTATTCTCACTTCTACTAAAAGTAGCATCCATAATCTTTCCTTCCATAAATAATTCAAACAAATTCAAAAAGTTAAATTAGAGGAGGATAATCCGTAACTTCAAATAAAAATTTCCATAAAGAGAGATAATCTATTTTTTTTAATAAAAAGATCAGTATTAAAAATAATATTTTTTTATTTAAAGGTAAGTAGACCGTAACCTTCAAAATATAATAATAGAAGTGAGATAATCTACTTACTTCTAAAATAAGATAAAAATAGTATATTAGCACTCTTGTCAAACTGTCAAGGATATGAATCTCAAAGAAAGAAAATCCTCAATATACTCTTGTATCATTGAAAAGAACTAGAAAGTTACTTTAAGATGATATAATATTGAACTAGAATGGCTATTGCTAAAAACAAAAAGACTAAAAAGTCTTGAAACAAGACTAAGGACTAAAAAAATATTGATAAGAGTGAAAAAGGCTTCACTCTTACTTCCATATATACTCTCTAACTAGGAGCTACAAGGCAATACTCTATAAGACCTCCAACATGTGTTAACTTTGTTAGCCACATGTCTTAATTTGTAAGGCAAGTTATCTATGTATGTGCCATGTAGTTAGCTTGTTCCACAAGATAATAAATGGAGTTAACTTGTTTTATAAGCTACCAATACGTGGTTAACTTGTTGGTCAAGTTTCTAACCTACAAACACATCTAAAGTCAAGATCCCATTTATAAAGCTTTTAAAAAGCTTCTCTAAAAGACTCTATGAAATTAATCTATATTTATCTACTTCTACCTAAACATATAAGTAACTATTAGGATAAATATATATATTTGTTGTCTTACTGTAAATGCTCATAGTATGTAAAAATTAATTAAAACATATTTTATGTTTATAAGTCTTGATGTGTGTTAGAATGGTTAATAAATTAATTTAAAGAGAGTGCATATAAAAAACTTTATTTAAAATTTTATCTATTTTTATTATAGTATTTAAATTATATAATATTAAGATGTTTAATATAGAGCTTTAAGAGAAGGTAGAAGCCTAAGGATGAAAATCTAAACTACTAGGAAGCTTATGGAGTGGATTGAAATCAAAGCATGGTCAGATGAAGGCAAAAGGTAAAGATCTTTATCCATATTGGTCGAAGGCTATGCCCAATAGATATTTAGTAGGTTGTTTGCACCCATAATAAGGATTTTGGTAACTTTAGAAGGGGCATTTGAGAATCAAAAGTAAGAATTATAAGGTTTAGGATTTGGAATACAATTTTTATACAAGTTTTAGAGGATTTGGAGTTACAGTGATGAAATTATAGCCATTTGAAATTAAGATAATGTTTAAGACATAATGTTGCTATTTTGAAAATATGAGGAGTTTTATGATAGATTTTGGAGATTAGAAGGTGCGGCCGCAAGGTTGATTTCAAGACTTATATCTTTTATGAAAAGTTTTTTGCATTTGGAGTTTGTATGAAGAAGTTATAGAGAATTGAAGATAGCACATGTAATTTAGAGGCAGTAAGTAAGTTGTTTTGTTGATAGTAATGGTTGGAGCCATATCATGAGTTTTTATATGAATTTTTGGCTAAAAATTTTCAAAAGTATGTGTTATTGATTTCAAAAGCTATATATCAAAATGTTATGGTACTTGAATACTTAGTTTGTGAGATATGAAGAAATTTGCACACAGGTATATGTAAGTAAGGGTTTGAAGTTGCTATTAGAGTTTTGGCAATATTTCAAGATCTGTAATGAATTTATGGTTGAAATTTGTTTTAGTAGTTTTCAAAAATATATTAATATTTTATGTAAAATTTGCATTTGTTTGGATAGTCCAATTGTGAGATATGAGCTGTTGAAGTTCGGAAATAATTTACCTTAAGGATATACAAGTTTTTTTGATATTTTTATCACATTTTTGGTGATCTTTGGTACTTAAGGCTTATGTATTGATGTAATTTCCCCTATAGGAATAATTTTATATATGGACTTGCTGTTTCTTTTATCTAGAGGCTTGGTTGAGCATTTAGTGACAACCAAAAGCCTAGCACTTTCTCAAGGTAAACTCTCTCTACTTTGATACTATGATAGTTACACACACAAGGCTACAAAATCTAGCTCCTTAAAACTAGTATATGACACACAACTGTTGCTTCCTATAAAGTACATTGCTCCAACATTTCAATCAATTACCCTTGTAAGTCATTAAATCAACTCATTGATTGTTTTAGAAAAAAAGAGTGCAATTAAAATGTCACATGACAAATGTTAGGTGAAGATTAGTATAGAAGATTCTAGATAAAAATAAAATAATAATAGTAGATAAAACATAGTTTTGTATAAGAAATCTAGTAGAAAATTCCAACTTAAGAAGGGAGCTTAGGAGGCATCAATTTAATATCCTTTGTAGTATCTTGAGAGCATCTAAAAAGAATCTAAAATATTCAAAATTATAATATTAGATGGTCCATAAATGATCAGGTTCAGGATATGGATATAGTATTGTATACGATTTAGATATGGTCCAAATATGGTATTATATATAGTTTGGATATGTGTTGCATATAAATACAAATATTATAATTGATATGGATACAAATATAAGATTCGATATGGTATACGTCATATGGGTACCATGCTGGATAAGGGTATGATGCAGGTATCCAGAGGCGGTTCTCGGGCAGAAGTTCTCAATGCCAGGTGCCATAGAATTCTGCCATCGAGGCGGAGCTTCTGGCGATAGGAGTCTCCGGCTGGGTCCGAACTCCTTGTTTTTTTTATCTTCAAGTCCGTAGCTCTGCAATTGGCGAATTGTTGGTGTTTTATTTTCCTGCGGCTAGGTTGTGAGTGTTGGCGGCGTGACCCAAGGGGCGGAAGCATAATGTCTATGTTCTTGAAGTGTGGTGGAAGTGGGCTCTTCTTCCTCTCGATTGTGGTCCAGCAGCTTGTCTTCTATGTTGAAGTGGTATTATTATTATTATTATTATTTCTTTTCCTCTGGTTGTTCTCGTCAAATTGCTGCGGTGCAGCATCGTCTTCTGCTCGTTTTTTTGCTGTGTTGTCGTTGATAATCGCGATCCAACGGCGGTGCAGTTTGGTGGTGTATTGCAGAAGTGAAGAACTCATAATTTTTGACGACGTACAGGGGTTGAGCTTCTTGCTGGATTCACATCTCTCTTCTCTTGTTGCGGCAGGAATCCAAGGTGGACTTGGCCTTTAGCAAAATCCTTGTCGTCAACAATCATTGTTTTTTTTTGGTGGTTGGTTTCTTGCACTAAATTGGCGCTACGGTGGAGTTGCCGTGGATTTGCTACACAACGAAGCAAGCAACTTGGTGAGGGCCTTCCAACATTGAACCCTTAATGAAGGACCATCAAGACGGAGTCCAATGGCATCAAGAGTTCCCTTATCACCAACTTGAAAAGCTCATTAATTCTCATGCCTAGAACATCGTCAACTACAAACGTGATGTTATCAACATTATTCCGCGCTGATATTACCCTTGCAAGCTCGATTGCTCTCTCACTGTAATCGGTTTCAATTAAATCTGAAAATCCTTGCTTTGCTAAAGCATGCAGAAGCAAGCCATTCCCAGTACCGAGGTCAAGGACGTTCCAATTCTCCAGTTCTAATGCTATTGAACCGCCAGCAAAAACATCTGCAGCCTCCCTCGTCCCCAATACATCTACATCGTCACAAGGCAGGCCCGCTGCAAAAGAAACACAAACCCTAGCTGTCCAAGCCACCATAGTTTCTATCACCTCATCTCCGAACCAGATTTCACCGGCATCGCCTTGCTCGTGAATTTTGATGAGTTCGTCAACTTAGGTTGCATTCCAATGCGACTGCAAGCCGAGAACTGAAGGCTCCACATCTGCATCGTGTTCTTCTTTGTCTGATAAATAATCAGTGAAACGAAATAGCGTTGAAAGCATCAACAACATTGGCATTCCTTTGATCTTTTCCATCCAAGGTACTACCGTATTCACTGCGGACGGGCCAAGAGTCCAGCAACAGATCGCTCATCGTCGGAGTAATACCCTATGTTAGCTCATTCTTGACGCTGGATAGAAAATAAGCTATTGGAAGATTAATTCGCGAGATTCGAGGCACCACTAAAGAAAGTGCAGTTGTGCATTTGGAAGATTGTACCAGATTATCTCCAGATGTAGTGCGTGATTGAAGCGTGATCGTAGCTCGATTCTTGTAGATGGATGCTAGTGTTGTAAAGCATGATGAGTTTTACGTTTGATACTATAGCTGTTCGAGAGTGTTATATAGAGGAGAACTAGAAAGTTTGTAGAGTTGAAGCGAGAGTGTGGAGACAGTCCAGGAGACTCTCAATTCCTGCATGAAGTCAGCAAAAGAGACGAGCAAGCCATGCATCAAAAACTTTCAACTTCTGCAACTTCCTACTGAAGCGAGTGAACACCTAGCATGCCAGCCATTTAGTAGTGGTACAGCTATCAGCGCATCTCCAATGTGCCTCAGTCTTCTGCAAAAATTCTCAAGGTGACAGTCTCGTACAGATTGAAATTTAGAGTAGGGTGAATTTACAATTGGGTAGACTTAAGATCTAGACGAATTTTGGTTAGGAATTGACGGAATCAGTGTGGATGAAATTATTAATCAAGGATGACTTTTTAAAATTGAATAGACAAGGGTGGATGAAATCTCATTTGTGAATGAGAAATCCTTATTGGATGAAAACTCATTTGCAGATGAGAAATCATTCTTAGATGAAAATTTAGTTATGGATGATCTTAATTACTAAAATTAAAATTAAAACAATAAAAAATTCCCATAATTGTGTGTGGTTCTTGAGTTGATTTATGATGCATGTATGGATGTTGATGGATGTTGATGGATGTATGAGTGGTTAATTGAACTAGTGTAAAGAACTTAAGGGTCTTAAGTAAGAATTAGAAGGATGACATTATGTAATAGAACCACAAGTTAATTAATTTTTGTGAACTAGAATAAATCGCAAGTTTATTTAGTTCATAATTGCAGAGTTCTAGGACTTATTGGACAATATTTAGACAATAATCATAAAGCAATAGAATTATTAGGCAACTTAATTTTTGTGAACTAGAATAAATCACAAGTTTATTTAGTTCATAATTGCAGAGTTCTAGGACTTATTGGACAATATTTAGACAATAATCATAAAGCAATAGAATTATTAGGCAACTTAATTGTTGTGAACTAGAATAAATCACAAGTTTATTTAGTTCATAATTGCAGAGTTCTAGGACTTATTGGACAATATTTAGACAATAATCATAAAGCAATAGAATTATTAGGCAACTTAATTTTTGTGAACTAGAATAAATCACAAGTTTATTTAGTTCATAATTGCAAAGTTCTAGGACTTATTGGACAACATTTAGACAATAATTATAAAGCAATCGAATTATTAGGCAACTTAATTGTTGTGAATTAAAATAATCTATCAATTAGTGTGGAACCATTTTAGTTTTTAATTCTACAAGAATAGATACTATACAAAATATTAGTAACTCAATTGGTATGTATCTACCATATTGATAAAATATATAATATGGCATAATAAAATATTACTAATAGCTAAATAAAAATGGCTAAATATTATTAGTCCAACAAACTACAATGTTCTTTTAAAAAAATAATAATTTAATTTTATGCTGTCCTCAAGATCCTAAAATTTGTACAAAAAAATTTGATCCTATATGGCACAAATCTTATCACATCTAGTTAGTGATCCTTAATAATATAATTATCTTTATCATTTAAGATCATTACAATTTCTATGCAACCATTGTTAATGTAGTCAAATTAAAATACTACTATTTGAAAGAATTGGATTTTATTAGTGCAATAGTATTCTTACAACAAATATTTAAACATATGGATAACTCACAAAGTGCAGTTAATGAAGTTCTTAATTCTCAAACAAAAGTTGCTACCAATTTTTGCCTTATTCTGTTGCTATTTGTCACTTTTCACTCTTTTCAAGTTGATACGATTGCACCTACATATTCAAGAGCCACATTTATACAACTAGCAGTGCCTCCATTTATAATACAATTTAGGCACTATCATGTAGTAATATGATTGTATGGTGAAAGATGAAAATATGGATTTCATTAAAAAAGAGCCTAGTAGAAAGATATAGTAGTAAAATATAGATAAATGATAAGAAGGTAGTAAAAACTTTTAATATTAATGATATCTTTTATTTAAAAAGAAATAAAAAAATGTATTAATTTTGTAAAACCTTAAATAAAGTAAAATAAGGTAAATTAAGAAAATAAATCATATATGTATTTTAAAGAGAGAGTTGAAAATAGATTTTAGCAAAACATACTTCAAAATACTAAAAATTAATATTCCAAGAGGATCGATTGTGAATCACGGTCAAAATTAGACTATGAGGTATAAAAGTACATGTCTATAATAATTTTGAAATTCTTTTGCTATTCAAAGACTGCAATTAGGAAGAGGATTTTAGAAGAATTGTTTAGACACTAGTTTTAAGTGTCATGGATACATTATATAAGAAACCAAACAAGAAGTTGAATAAGAAAGATTTAGCAAGAAAGCTAATAAGAAGTTGATTAAACCACATGAGTATAAGATCAATACTAAAAAAGGTGAGTTAAAGCTCTAAAAGATGTGTTGTTAAGACTAAGGATCCTCTTAGCTTTGACTCTTATATATATTAGGTATTAGAAAACTTTTCAACAAGTTTTCATATTCCTTGAAGCTGAAGCAACCTTTGGAAGCTCTTCCAAAAGTTTCTATGTTGCTTGAAGATGAAGCAATCTTAGAAAGCTTCTTAGACAACTTCTTTACTTCTCCTATAGCTTTCTAAAACTTGTTGGAACATTTTAAGAACTTTTTGGAACCTTTAAAAATCTTCTAGATATCTTTTTAGAATCTTTTAAAATCTTTTAGTATATAATAGAATATTTTTAGAATATTTTTAAAATATTTTTAAAATATTCTTATTGGATATTTATAATATCACCTCTCCTTCTAATTCCAAATTCTATAAAGACCATTTCTTTCTTATTTGCTTTCTTTGATATATATAACATCCTAGCAATAACTTCATAGAAAAGTCATCTTAAAATAGGTTTGGATTTTTGAAGATAGCTTCAATAAAACTCTTATATCTTTTGTAGTCCATTAATTAGATTTTTTTTTATTAATTTCCATGTATTCTCATTGATATCATAGTTACTTCAATGAATAAAATATTCTAAATTATTTCTTTTTTGTTGAAAATCAAAGATCTTTTCTATTTTACATTCTACGTGATTATTTATTTCAATACAAGGCAGTGATGGTTGTATTCTTTTTGGAATACTTGATTCTAAATAAGCTTCTAAAAGAGGATCATGAAAGATTGGTTATACCTTCATAAATATCGGTAGTTGCAACCAATAAGCCATTAAATTGATTTTGCTTTTAAATACAAAATGGCCTCGGTTTTTAGTAGTCTAACTTATTGTAAAGCCAATTGATCTTGATATTTCGTCAAAAAAGCCATACTTTATTTCCAACTTCAAAAGTAAGGAATTCTTTTCTAAATTTTTTTGAAGATGCTTTGTAAGAATCTTGAGTTACTTGTAAATGGAGCTTTAAAGTTATTTAGAATTGAAACAATTATTTTGCAAGATCTTTAGCTATTGGATTTTCATTCTTTGATATACCTAACAAATCAAGCTTCAAATAATAACAATAAATGGAATAAAATGGTGTTTATTGAGCTAAAGCATGAAGGATAATTTTATAAGTAAACTCTGCCAAAGATAAATACAAGGTCCAATCATCTTATCAATAGTTGATAGTACATTACAAATATTATTCCAAAACTTCATTGACTTGTTTTTTTTGACCATATATTTGAAGATAAAAGGTAGAAGAAAGTATAATATCTACCTTCAATGTCTTAAAAAAGGATTTTTAAAATTTTGATATAAATTGAGGTCCTGAATAAAAAATGATGTCATCAAATATGCCATGATGTCAATATATATTATCAAAAAAGAGATTTGTTATTTCTTCTCTAAACATTATCTTTTTATATAGGAAAAAATATGCCATCTTTATAAGCCAATCTACAATAATTTAGATAACATCAAATATAGCTAATAGTTACAAATCAATAATAAAATCCATTGATATTAAAGACCAAGGTTGTTTTGGAATTAGTAGTAGTTGTAGTAGTCCATAATGAAATGTGACTAGATTATTTCAAAAATCTAAGACCCTTTTAATACAATTTCCATTGCAATATGGAATAAAACAAACTACAACAAAAAAAAATAAGACAAAATATTAAACAAGAAAATGCAAAAATAAACTTTATTAAGAAAAAGGATCCAAAGCCATACCTGACTAGATGTCCAAATAGCCTTAGCTAGTCCTAGTTATACTTTATTCAACCATCTTGGAACTTTTTAAAATATTCTTAATAATGGATTCTATCTAGATTACCATCCTAAGCTCTTTTTAGAATGTTCTATGGTAAGTCCTATTTAGATAACCACCTTAAGGTCATTTAGAATGTTTTATGATGGGTCCTATATAGTCCATTAACCTAACCTCAATTCTAGAAATTTCTATAAACTTCTCAAATATGAATCAAACTATCTATTTTTATGTATCAATAATACAAATATCTTATTTATACCTCGTTATAATTAATCTCCTTCTATTAATATGGAATGTCTTTGTTTTATTTTTGATGGTATCTCCAAATTATTTCTTGGTAATAGATTAGGTTCTATATAGGTTTTTACATTGTATTGTGGATGGAATAATCTTTCTAGAGGACTTTATATTAAAGTTATGGATGTTCATTACTATGGCAAAGGTAGTGATGATCCAAAATACTATCCACTCTATATTCTTGTTGATCATCAACTATAATTAGTAGTAATGGTGGTTGGTATCAATCCAAGAAGTACCTTGGCTCAGTATAAAATTCCTTAAATTATAAAATAAACAAGACTGGATGGACTAAAATAGGTGGCAAAAACTCGAGGTTGTATGCAACATCAAAAAACACTACAAAAATATTCAATGATCCAAGCTATTGAGATATCAATTTATGGATTTGGATTGATGTAGCAAGTGGCAAATTGGAATTGAAAGTAACACTTCATCATCTTCTCAAAAATTCTTGTGTTGTTAGTAATTATCTGCATACTACTTTTATTGATACTGTGCAATAAAGAGGCGATGTTGTGCCTTCTATAAGGCCCTTATAAGCCATTGTATAAATTCTTCTATTCTCAAGTTGTTGGTATGAATGAGATGATAGAGAGTTATTAGCATAATCAAATGTCAAAAATGATGATACAAGATAAATCCATAATAACTAAAGATAAAATGAAAGAAGATTAGTACAAATGTTGGAACATCAATATCCAAGCGCACTACGGCCAAGTGAAGTTACTTTGAGAGTTGGTCTATAAAGAAAAGAATTATGGTGAGATTGTGAGGCATCTATATCAAATTCATAATGAGATCTATAGTTTCCTACTCCCAATATGTCATAGGTAGTGGAATTGGCTGCAATAGTCTAGGAGATATTGCGTTGCATGTTTGTTATATTGACATGACTCACAAGAACACACAAAAGCTCAAATATCACAATCCAAACTTGTCTAAAATCATGTCTTTCAGATCCATTTTAGAATCTTCTCATGCCTTGGATGTCTAGATATTGAAATATCATATCCTTCTTAAAGTATGCACGTTCAAAGTATAGCATTATTAAGTACATAAATCTGCTACTTGAAATAGAATAAG